GGGTTGAGGCTGCCCCAGGTAATGAGTATAGGAGAAGTCCCCAGAAAGCTGTTTCTCTTTAAAGACCAATTTGGGGTTGAAGAGGAGGGAAGAAAAAGATAGCTGGTTGGACTGTCCAAACTACACCTGAATAAATCCAACCCTCCCTTCCCTCTTGCTATCTAACTTCAGCACTTCTCTGACTACCATTATCACTGTGTCTGAGCACCATGGGTTGTTTCAGTGCTTTTACCATGGCTTTTCCCTGCTGCAAGTATCCTTGCTTTCCCCTGCAGTTATAAATGAGAAGCAAAGCCTTGGGAAAGATAAACAGCTTGACCCAATTGACCCTTTGGACTGCTGACCCTAACAGAAGTGACTGGGGACTTGCCACCTATTAACTAACCATATGCCCTGTGTTTGGGCTCATGGGCAGTCCAGCATGTGCGATAGAGGATTCTGCCTGACATCATTCATTTTGGTAGTCCTACAGTGAGTTAGACCAGTGTGGGATCAGACCCACTAAGCGTAAGACTGGAAGGAAGCAAGAGGAAGGAGGGAGAAGAAAGATAGGGCACTGTGCTAGTAGGAGTGTGAAGAAGAGCAAGCAAGGGCAGTGCTGATGCTGTCCTTCTGCAGGGAGCTGCTGGCTATTCAGAGGAGCCTAAGGCTGAACAGCCTGACTCAGATACTCAAGGCACGCAGGCCGCTCGTTCACCTCCCCAAACAGCTGATCCCAGCTGCTCCATGGGAAGACAAGAACCTAGCTGGAGAGAAAACCCTCACTAACCACCTGATGATACAATACTAACGATGAATGATTCATTGTTTATTGCAACTCTCTCTGCTGCACTGAATCCACAGGCTTTCAGTAGCACTCATCCAAGTTGCCTGTGCCACATGTGTGCAGTACTTACCTGAGTCACAGTTTGCTTGCTGGTCTTCAGCTGGCCATGAGTTTGTGTCCGGAACTCACACCACTTGGGTTTTTCACTTGGCTTTTTACCCCTTCTCTGTGGAAATATGCATGCTGATCCTGTCAGCGTGTCAGACTCTGTCCTGTATCTCACCACAGGAATTGCTTCAATAAAACTCTGCTAAAGCATCACTGTGATGATTCATGGTTGTGCATTTCTTCCACAAGTGTTGAATGTAGGCTAAGATTACAACAGATCTGGCATCAATACCTGCTTAGATTCAGGGTCTTTGGTATTTAAAAAATTAGGTTTTTTAAAAAAAGTCTTACTGAATATTTGTGGAAGAAAATCATACTTTGAACAACAACAAAAAATAGATGGTGCAGAAAGGAAGGTTTTGCTGAAAAAAAGTTGAGTCACCCTTCTCTTTCTCTCTCTTGCTCAGCTGCCAAATACCGCTGTTCCCCTTAGCTCTCTCCCCCTCAACCCCCTCCCCATTTTTGGATGAAGAATGTCTGTTTTGAGTAACCAAACTAAACAAAAGTTAAGCTTTCCAGGTGGGAGCTGGGTTTCCTCAGCAGGGAGCTGACGTGGTCGCCCAATGGCCCCTTTCAGCAGCACCCGGCTTGTTTTACCATTTCTGGAATCAAATGATTAAAGGACAAACCCTTCCTTTCTGTGGTGCTGCACTCTTTGGAAGATGTTTTACTCATCTGCCTAACCATAACCTACATTGTGAGAATTAATGAGTCAACACTTCTTTCTCCACATGACAGCGACTGGCTGGCGGTGGCTGGGAACAGGTGAGACACCCAGCTAGGCAGGAGGGTGATGGCACCCACACGGACACCCCTGGGGCTGACTCTGCACTCCCACCACCCTGAGGAGTCTCCACTGGGGGTGGCCAACGTGGGATGGACACAGTTCATCCACTAGCTGTGACAAAACCACCCAACCCATCAGCCTGTCGGGGAAAGAAAGAGGCATGAAAGCAAGAGGAAGTGGAAAAGATCAAGGCGAGAGTGTAAGACAACAAGCTCACCACCGGAAAACAATAAAAATAAAAATGCTCAGAAATAGCATAACTGACATGCAAAGGAGATCAAAACAGGTCCTCAAAATATCTCTTGGTGGGGGAGGGGGGCAGGATGGGATGTCTATGATGGACACCATGGTGCAGCCAGAGGATGTGCTGTGGGTGGTAGGTGAGCATTGGCCATCCTGTGGCCACCTCCACATCCTGTCTGACTCCCCAGATTCTGACCTACAGGTCTCTGGAGGCTTTGGTCTCCTGGGAGATGAACATCAGAGCACACGAGGCACTGCTGACATCTCTGAGCCAAGGGTGGTGTAAGGGCTTTGTCAGGGAGCAGGTGCTATTCCAGTTTAATCCAGCTCTGTTTGCCCAACCATTCCTCAGGTGCAAAGAAAAGAATTTGTGTCCAGTTCCACTTGCCCCACCCTAAATTCAGAGCATGTCCAGTTTACACTAACAAAGGGACTGGGAAGAAGAGAAAGGAGAATCCAGTTCTTCAGGGTTTGCTTTACTGGAAAGGACAATTGCTTTCAATTTGCCTTCATGAGAGTGCTAAAGTCTTAAGATACTGAGGTATTGGGCATACTTTGACCTTTAAGCAAAGATAAGGCTCCTGAAGGCAGCATTGTTTTGCAGTAAGTTGCTCCTCTGAGGACACACTAAAAACTTGCTGTGCTGTGTCCTAGACATGTTTCAGACTGTTGTGAGCACAGCACCAGGGAGCAGGACCATGTCCTGTGGGCCCACCCCAGCTCTGCTTTTGCCTGGCTGTGTGACCAGTAGCATTCAACCAGCTCTGCTGCCTATCTCTGGGGAGGTTCAGCATCCTGAAGCTCCAAGCACAGCCTAGACATCACAGATGTCCCTCCACAGATCCAGAATAACATGTCTCACTTCTGGTGCAATAAAAAAACAACAGAGAAATCACTCAAAGCATGGTTAGATCTCCGAGGAGTCTTTTGGGCTAATCTGCCCAAACTTGCAAGACCTAGTTGCAGGCTTGCGGCTGTTCTGGCAGTTTTCCAGCTCCCTGTGAATCAGGAAACACTGTGACTGCCACTCAAGGACAGAAAACTGTTTAAAACATAATACCATATTCCCATCTGGTGCACTGAAATGCATGGATGACCATGGACGTGTTATCCTTCATTCCCTCTATAACAGGGCATGTGATATAGATTTTTCTCCAAGGAGAAGCAGGGTGAATGAACACAGTCAGGGAATGCCATTGTGTTTCTTGAAAGAATAAGAGGTAGGGCTAAGTACTAAAAATTAATTATTATAGCAGCTTAATGATGCTAGGGATTTTTAATATTATTATTTCTGTGTGTTATCTGAGCCAGGGCCATGGCAACAGGAAGACTAGAGGGCCACCTGCCTGGGCTGGGCCAAATGAAGGTTTATATATTGGTTACAAAAGTTACTAGTAAAATACTGAATAACATGGGTCGTTGCTGGGCTGGAGTCCACTTTGACTGGCAGCAGGGACCTCCATCCTGTGCATCCAGACATTCTTGATCAGAGTTGGGGGGAGTTCTAATCCTAATGCAGAGCTGACTCATCTCCTTGAAACAGCTAGCCAAAAATGGCCAGTTGACTGCCCTGGTGCTGCAAAGACACTGACTGCCTCAGGACTTTGATACAAAGAAACACCAGTTTCTGCGATTTAATTTTGCTGCCCTGGGTGATGAAATGAGGGAGCTGGACACTGAATACTCTTGCTCTCTCTGAATACCAACTCATGCTGAAGTAAAGTAGAAGTAACATGCTCCTAAGTGTGAGAGGACAACATTTTTTTTTAAATTCATGGTTTCAAAAAGCAAGAGAGAATTATACCCATGTGCTGAAGGAAGTTTAATAAAGGTTTAATTAAGTGCCTCAATCTAGATTTAGATGTTCTCACTGCTAGTGTTGGAGCTTCGAGCTGTTAGTCATTAATACTCATCTCAGGTAACTTCCACCACCCTCAGCCCCTCACCTGACGCATGCACACACTTGAGAAAGATTGCTGATATCCTCTCTGAAAACTAATGAAATCACAGTGTGATATTTTGATTTCAAGGGCATCAAAGTAATGCAAAATAATGATGGGATCGGGAGGCTGTGATACCATAACGCAGCTCTTCTTGTCTCTAGATCTGAAAGCACCTTGCGAAGGAGATCCGAATCATCCCTTCTCTGTTCAAGTCAAAGGAGCTGAGGCACAGCACATCACAGAGATGCAACCTGCAGGCCTGGGATAGAGCCCAGATGGGTCAGCCCCAGGCTAATCTAACAGTCATTGACCACACTTCTCCTTAGAACAGCAATGGGATCTGCCATGGGCAGGAGATCTCTGTGTATGTCTGTGTTTGTGTGTTTGTCTGTGGGTACACAGATTTTACAAAGAGAAGGATCCCAGACACAATAACAAACAAAGAGGAAATAAATTCAATGGTCAGCTGTGAAAGCAGGTCCTGCTTTAGCTGCTTGGAGTTTAAAGGGCAGCAGTGGACACAGGAAAATGCTTTCTAAGGGCTGGAACAGCAACCAGATTTTTTCCTGAGATTATTTCACAGTATTTGTAGTTCTTGTTTGCTGTGCAGGAGATTAGGTAGCCAGAAAGGTCTGATCCCCGTTTTGTACTTTCTGGCAGAGGAGAGTTCTCTTGACCTGCAGACAGCGAGAGCCCACCATCAGGACTGCTGCAGTAATTCAGAAATTACTGACCTTCAGCAGAAATGGGAAATGATTCTGTATATTTCGATAGAGTATTGTGGAAAATTGAAGGATCATTAGAAAATCTTCTTCATAGGGGGCTGGCAGTTTATGGCTAAAGAACAGAAGGCACAGGTCTCTTCAGGTTATTAATAAAAGCAGTAAACATTTCCTCTGCTTACTAGTCTGAGTATGTCAAATTTTAGTTATGGAAAGAATGCCATGCCCTGATGAGGGTTATTACAGAGATCACTTATACATGCAGAGATCCCGCTGCATCTGGGAAAGATTTGCCTCCTCCCCAGAGATGCTCTGGTTTGCTGTGAACCTGAAAAAGTCTTTTTTTCCCCTTCTTCCCTTTTCCCTCCAAGGCTGGCTACACCGAGCTGCTGGAGTAACCACGCTGCTCCTGGGATTCTGCCCCAAAGGGGATTGCTCCAGCCAACCCTGGAATTCGGGATGCCCTGGACATGCCATGAAGAAGCGGAGCTTGAGGGAGATGCACAGCATGTAGTGCCGCGCTGCGGTCGCAGTTGCTGAGTGTCCGTGGGCTAGAAGCCTCTTGGGGTATCACAACAACCCTCTCAAGATGACTGTGCTGGTAAGAAGTGTGATATCAAGAGCTGTGAGGCTTTGCCCCTGGAAGCTGTGGGCTCCAGGTTTGCTTCAACTTCTCCTCCTCCCTCAGGAGCGCTATGACTGAATCAAGATGAACAGACTCAGCCTCTCAGCCAGTTTGGAAACTGAGGCACAAAGAAAAGTGACTCACTCCATAGCTAACTACCAGAAACTGTTCTAAGGGACAGAAGCCTTGCAAGAAAGCACAATTTTCCATTAAGCAAGGTAAGCAGTTTTCTTCAAGCACCCAAGCTGGGGGCAACCCCAGTAGCTTGCAAAAGTCCTCCTGAGCCCACAACCCCACCCTGAGCCTCTCCCAGCCATACAGCTGTGCAAGCACCCTGAGTAAGGGAAGAGAAGAGTGGGATGATTTGGAGACTGCTCACAGCCTGCAGAGCAGGCAAAGCCATGCCCACCTTTGGCCTTGGACATTCAAGACGTGGCTTGCCCACTGCAGTGCTACCATGAGCAAATGAGCAATAACTTCATGGGAATAGCCCCCAGGGAGCAGAGATGTTCATGTCCTCATGGTCATTGCACCTTATCACGGGTTTCAAGGTCACTTGAAATCCACCACTGAGATCAGAGGTGTTTCGGTATCCTGGGTTTTATCTGCCAGTCTTTGTCTCTTCTCAATTTTGGTGCCAGTCCAAATCTCCACTGGTGCCAAAACTGACACCATCAAGAATGCTCCACTACTGCTGATGGCCTGGGGAGCCCAGGCTTTGGGCTGTTCCCCTGACAGTTCTGCCACTAGATCAATATCTGCGCTTGAACAAGAGCAGAGCGCTCAGAGATACCTCCAAATGCAAATGGGACCCTTGCCAGTAATGGAGAATCCATCACAGCCCTCCAAAGCTGTACCAGTGGTTAATTAAGCCTCCTGAGAGAAACACATCTTACACCTAATCTGCGTTTGTCTGGCTTGAGGTTGCAGCTGCTGGATCACGTTTTATCTCCCATAGTTGGGCAGGCCTAGTGTCATTCAACTTCCATACCACACCACCTCCCAGCAGAACTTCCCTGGATGAGGGTTATGCTGGACATCTCTTTTCCCTCCCCGGAGATGTTCCCTGGGTGGAAGGTGAGGGCTTCAGACTTCCATTTGACATTTCGGATGCCAGGCAGCCCATTCAGAGTTGAGTGGGCATGGGTAAGGGAGCTTACACATGTTTCTACAGGGTTAGACTGACCGTGCATATCCTGAGGATGCTCTGCATGTGCACAGTTTGTTCCCCACACCTCAGATATGTCAGAGTCCCCCTCCAGCTTCTGCAGAGGTCAGGACAGAGCTGAGAATCCACTCACTGTTTTTCACTTGTTTTACTTCTCTTCTTCGGGAGTTTGTTTTTCTCTCTTCTTTCTTTGCACCCTCCTGGACCACCTTCTCCTTTGAGGAATGGAAGTGGTACCCAACCCAGCAGTGCCTGACCGAGGGACCGCAGCTGCTTGGCTCACCCTTATTGCCTGGTCTAGCTTCCATCCTCCTGCATCCCCCTTTTAACACCCTGCTCCCCCCATGGGCAGCCCCTGTCTCCTACTCTCCCTGCCTCTGCCTGGTTTCTCCCCTTGAAACATGGCCCTTCACCTTCCCAGCAAGTCTGTGTCCTCGGGGGACACAAGCTGTTCGCCAGCGTGTGTGCCCTGATGGATTGATTCAGTTTGACTTCCTCCCGCTCATTTATTCAAGTTTCCTAGAAAGCCTCTTTCACTGGAGGTTTCCTGAGCGAAGCAGACGGCGTGTACATGCACGTGTACGTGTGGGTCTGCGGGATGGGGGGAGCCGAACCTCCAGCCCCTGCTGTTACCCCCAGCACTGTGATGTGCCATGCCAGCTCTGTGCATCCGCGCGGTGAGGGCTGGAGGGATCTCGGCATTTGTGGAATGAGCATCTGGGAATGTGCATCTGATCCTCAGACCACGTGAATGGGGGGCTAAAAATAATAACCAACTGCCGCTCCATTCCTCAGCAGCATCTGGGGGAGTTTGTGTAGGGAGGAGCAGCCACCAACCTCTAACACCACCCAGCAGCATCCCTCTGCTTTGCAACCTGGGTTTGTGCATGTAAAAGGGGTCAAAGGCTGCAATCTAATTTTTTTTTAGAAGGGTTTCTCATGAGAAGGGCTATGTTGTGAATTTTCTCCTACCTTACCCATCTGCTGCTGTCCTGGCCTATTAAAAGATGCCCTGGTTTTGCACTTGAGACCTTATTTGTCCTTTGCAGAGGAGCTGACACGAGTGCCCACTGTATCTGTGAAAAGTTGACAGTGTTACAGAACGAAGGCTGTGAAAACTGTCCCCGTGAATATTGGTGGAGACCACATTTTGAGAGCAGCCAATGCCTTCCCCTGCAGAGCTGAGCAGAGTCCGGTTGTAGCAGATCTGCAAGTTTGCTGGTGAGAATAGTCACTGCTTTAACAATGTATTTTTGCACTTTCAATCATCAGCTTTAGCTGTGCCACTCTCTGCAGAGGCACTGACCAACTGTGGGCAACAGAGTTAAAGAAGAGTTGCCTGTGATGACAGCTTTGTTTAAACTTGTTTATTCTGTAGAGTTTCTTGTTCTTTCTCCTAATTCAAAAATACCTTTGCCTAGAGATTTTTTCAGTGAGTAAATACCATTTCCAACCAAGGAACAGCAGCTGCAAATGGATCAGGTGCTGTGCATCTTAGGGAGAAAAGCTCAGCAGTGTCCAGCCCAGGTCATGCCTGGATTCACTGTGATCCTCCAAAAGGGCTGGGTACCTCTGGAAAAGAAGAGTATGGTTAAACCTTCCTGTGATTGGTTTCTTCCACTGTAAAATCAAATTCATACGTCTCCCATTTTTCTTGGCAGAAGGCAGGGGAATCCTGCCACAGGGATGCAGATAGCAATACAGCCCCGTGGTGGTCCTTGGTGGATGCTGACTCAGCCCCATGCAGGGGTTTTGTCTTTTTTTCATCCCTCAGCCACCTCTGCTGCCCCAGGGGACACTGAAATGACCAAGGACTGAGCGATTTCTCTCACAACCTACAAATCAGAAAAAGGAGCAAACCATAGCAGCTGTTGAACAAGGAGAGAAAGGTTCCTTCCCATACAAGGAGGAGCAAGGAAGCTATTGGGGAGCAGAGCATTTCCACAACAGCTTTCTTGCAGGTACCCTGGCTCCCCAAATCTAGTGGTGTAGCATTTCAGGCTTGCAGATGGTGTAACACCTCCAGGGCTGGGCAATTTGTGGCTTGTGAGCTACCTGTGGCTCACAGACTGTTTAGAGCTGGTTCTTTTGCCAGCAGGCAGCAGTGGCAGGCAGGTGGGTTGCTCCATAACCCACATCTCTGGATGGTTTTTGGTTTTGACACCTCAAAAATTATTTGCTGGGCCACACAGCTACTGAATGCGTCTTTTCTGCTCCCCTGGAGAGCCAGAGGTACCCTGGCAGCATTAACTTCTTCCAGCATCATAAACGTGGGTTGGCATCTTTGGGATGACAGCATTGCCATGCAAGAGAGCATGAAGGTGCCTGATCTGTGGCCTGGTTTCTACCAAGAACAATATCAAAGCAATACCTGCTCAGTGGAGCAGAGGTGTGTGTGATGGTGGGAGTAAAGTGGTGCATTGCAAGAGGGAGTCAGGAACACCAGTTTGCCGCTTTTGGCTTTCCCAGTGGGTAAGGAAATACCTGGCTGGATTTAAGCTGTAACCAGCACCAGGATGTGCCAAGACCGTCCCCACAATCCTTGTGTGAAATTGGGTCTCCTGGGAAGCCAGCCCAGAACACAGGGTATATAATGACCTGCGTGACTGGAAGCCATGGCAGGTAGTGAGTAGCTTGAGTCACACCTGGGCTGGGTCCCCAGGCTGTGACAGACTCCCAGCTTGGGTGGGTCAAGGTGCGACTGCCAGGTTCTGTGTCCCAAATTTTGAGGCAGTCTGGATGCATTACTGGCAGAAGGCCGTGTGGGGCAGAAGATGACAGCCAGTAGACTGCTGGAGGAGACCCAGCTTGGCAGGGAGATCAAGGTCCTGGGAGCGGGAAGGAAAAGGAGAGGAACCAGGAATGAGAACTGGGATGGGATGGAGTGTGGGAAGTGGAGCTGAAAAGAAACATCTGAGAGTCTTTCTGTGGGAGGATGAGAATTGAATGCCCCTGGAGCTGGCAGACCCATTGAGCCCTGATCCAGATGTTTCCTAGCAGGCCACGGAGGCTCTGCAGCATCTCCACCTCTGAGTCTTGCTCTCAGCAATACCCAGGGGAGCTGGGGAATGACAGCAACAGCTCTGCAGGCTTTGGCACACCCCAGCTGCTATGAAACCCTGTGGAGGAGAAGCCCCATCTCCTTTGCCCTTTGCCTTATACAACCCCAGATCCAGTTCCTGGATAGTGACCCCTTCCTTTGCACAGAAAGGAGACAGACTGGACAAGCACAGGGAGTACCCAGGGCAGCATTGAAGCACCAGGGATAGGAGCAGGGGGGCTGCTGAACATAGCTCTGACAAGTGTGATAGACTCTGACACACTTAATTGCGAGAAGAAAAGAGAGGTGAGCTTAGGATGTGCAGGTGACCTTGTTGGATGTGGTCAAAAATGGTGTGTTCCTTGTTTCTCCACCACTTTTCTCCTTATCCTTCCACTGAAAACATTCACTTCTTATTTGTAAATGTAAATCTTTATGAGTTGGGAAATCTGCTGCTGACTCTCAGGTTGCAAGCCCTACGCCCTTTCGTGCTTCCCAGGAGAGAGGCAAGCTCCCTGTGCACTCTATCTCTTCTCCCATCAGCTGTGAATCATAGGCCATCGACAGCAGCTCAAGCAGAGGGAGAGCAAGATGTAATTAAAATCCTCAGGGAGCACTGCAGCCATCTCTCTGTGCTAAGCCTTTTGAGGTTTTCAGTTTTTCATTAAAAAATCCCAAATTTCCTACTGAAGAAACAGGAGGAAAATTTCTGACTATACAGTTTCCAATCTATGGCCAAGCCACAGAAGATTTGCTGTTGTTTCCTAGCTCCAAAGTCAAGAACCTGTCTAGCCAGGTTCTCAGAGTTGAGCCTCTGGAGGTGCTTCACCAGACCAGCCCAAACCGTGGCCCCCACCAGCAACACCATACTGATGTGTGCTCCTGAATCCAGTTCATCCAACCCCTCCCACTGTGCACCCCAGGAACAGCTCCGCAGAAGTGTGTGGATTTACACCTCTGTACAACATGAATCATGTCCAGCGAGTCTTGAACTGACCCTTGCAAGGAGCTCCTGAGGCATTGCATGGAAATTATTTATGGGTGGTTTTTATTGCCTGTAAGAGGATGTAGAAATCAGGCAGCACCCTTGTGGTTTTCTTCTGTCAAATTATGATCAAGGCTGCTATTTTGCTGCCCAAATATTTAAGTGTGAGACAGAAATCTTTACAAGGGCTACCACATTCCTTAGGTTATCTCTATTGGTCCTGCCTGGGCCTATAAATACTAGAGGGACTACCAAAGTAAATAACACACTTGCCTGCACATATGCTGCTCCAGGGGATTTCCCGTTTCCTGTATCACAAAGGTCAGTAGGTCAGGGACCTACTTGCAAATCAATAGAAAATTACCTTTCAAGTGACACCTGCATTAACCTTTGATTCTTGTTGGTCTAGGTGAGGTTAAGGCCACCAATCCCTATAGTCTTCCATTGTACCTATGATTTATTTGCATTATGATTTATTTGCATTATCTGTTTCCCTTCTTGATCTTTGGAATTGCTGGCACAGTTCCCACACAGCATGCAGAGTCGTTTCCCTGCACATTGGTCAGGAATGGCAGGAGATCCACAAGGCTGTGCTTTTTGCTGACAGGTGTCAGAAACAATAAGGAAAATGTATATGTTTGGAAATGAAAAGAAAACCAAAACAAACAAGAGGAAGCAATTACAAAGACCCCCTTGTCAACATAAAACTTTTCTATCTAAAAGTTGTGTCCTCAGCTCAGTCATTAATGACAGTCATAGGTCATTGAAAGTGAATGAGTTGTAAAAATCAAATTCACTTGCCATTACAGCTGATCTGGAAAGAAAATTGCTGGATCCTACAGCCTCCAAACTAGTGTGAATCACTCGTTATTTTCATCGGGGGCTGGTTCACGCCTTGTATTCCTTTCAGCTTGTGTGAAGAAATCAGACTGGTCATTTCTTGATTCAAATCTGCTTGCTTCTTTTGCTGTCCAACCCTTGCATTGTTGCAAGCCTGTGCTCATCTATCAGGACCGAAGAGTTTATCAGGGCATCCCCTGCTCACCTCATCTCTCCTTCTCCCACAGCAGTGCTTATATGTTAGAGCTCAATGTTGCAGCTCGCCTCCGTCTCCCTAGGCAGGACTAAATTTAGCAAAGGGGTCATGGTCCTGCCTGGGACCTGACAAAGGGGTCATCAGACCCTATGCTAGATGCTTTCCCCACAAGCCAAATAAGATGGGAATTGGGCTGTGACTCTTTTCCCTCTCCCCTTCCATAGGGATACTAAGATATCTCCTTTCTGGGTATTATTAGGCTTCAATTGTCATGCAAAGACTCATGGACACAGATCTCTTTCCATCACTTCAGATGCTGTTTCTTAGTGTATGAGGCAACTACATCTTTTGTTTGTTTCTAATTCCTCCTTTGCCCCCAGAGAAATGCTACTTGGTTGCTTTGCTGCTGGTGGAAATCCTTTTGCGAAGCACCGCTCTCTGCAGACGTCAGGGATGTGGTGATCATCGGAAAATAGCTCATGTATCTCCAACAGCTCCTGCAAGGACTGAATTCCCAGTCAGCCCAAGCAATCCCATCAGAGTGTGCAAAATGCCCAGCAGGCCTTAGATAACAATGAGCAATGCTCAATAGGCGGGGGACACTCTGTACTCAAGGCCACTGTGGTGGTTTGACAAAAATCCACTGGCACAGGCCACCACTATGCCCCTGCTGCCCTTTTCTGGTCCATGGGAACATCCCAGGTGCAAGGGGGCCATGCAGCTCTTTGAAGCTGAGTTTCCTGTTGCTCTGGTCATGTGCATTTTTGGCCACTGGCTTCTGATTTTCACTTGGGACCTGTGGGTGCTTCTGGAAAGCAATTAACAGCCAGAATTAAAATGGGCAGACCATAGGACTTGGCACTCTGCAGCTGGCAAACGCTCCCTACCCCTCTGGCTTACTTCAAGCCCTGAACCTAGCTGATTGTATCCCGTTAACAGGCTTTAGTTCTGGATGCCGTTGAGAGTCTGCCAAGCACAATCTGTAGGATGTTTTAATTGGAGCAGAGAACAGTAATAAAAAGACCTTTGACCGAGCCCTGCAGACGAGGCTAATGGGAGGGGAGGACCATGCCACTGTTCGGTCACTTCCCTTGAGCTGTCCTTGTTAGAGGGAATGGACCCAAGATCCTAATCTGTTTGCCAGCTGACTCTTCTGCCCAGCCACTTTGTACACAGCAGAAATGTACCCTGACCACCCAAAGCTGCCAGGCACAGTAGCACTGAACAATTTGCTGTGGCCTCCTGAAGCCAATGTGGCTGTGGCATCCCTCAGGGTCTCACCTGGGAGGCTGGGAACATCTGCTTGAGGTCCAGCACAGAGATAGGAAGTGAAGATATTCCCTTCCTATAAATGCCATGAGAACAGGCATCAAGAAGCATCTGGTGAAGAGCTTGCAGTGTAATATCCTCCTTAGCCCATTTACATTCAAGTGATTTTGTTTTTCAAGGATCTTCCTGGGAATTCGAGGTCAGGATCTATCCCATAGTCTTCACTCACAGCCTCTCAAAGAAAAATTGTCTTCAAATCTTTCTCTTTGCCTCATCTAGATCCTGAAAGCTGGGCTTTGCCACGGGGGGATGTCACTACTTAAAAGTTTCTTGCAGGAACCTTTCCTGCAGAGCCCCCAAGGTGGCCAAACCACCACCTTTTTATGACGCTTTTGGGATGCCCACCCTCAGCACCTGAAGCTGAATCACAGAATAGGGCTGGACCAAGTCTGTGCTTTGTCCCAGTGGTTGTTTCCCAAGGAGACTGTTGATCTGAAGCTCTGCTGGTAAAAGCTCAAGCACTGGGACTGCTCTGCCACCTGGGAGCCTCGGCAGGCAGCAAATGTTTCCTGCTTTTTGCCCTCCTTTCCTTTCAGTGTCTGCTTTGAGCTTCTTGGTGTCCTTGCTGTGCAACATCACACACCACCTGCATTCTGCTTCACAAAGGACTGCATTCGCACAGGGGTCAGATGGAGCCCGCCTAATCTGCCGACCACATGCTATTCAGTCAGTAGGAGAACACCAAAGGAAGGACAGACTTCAGTATGGCAGCAATAAAATCAGTGCTGCCACAGATTCCAAAGGAGCAATTGCCAGCTTGTCCACACAATCCCTTGAGGATTGGGACATGTGGTCAATGGGGGCTTTACCAGGCCCTGCAGGTCCCATTTGGGCTGGAAACAGGGTCAGAAAGAGATCAGCCTAGATTATATGACACCAGGTCAAAAATCTAGTCTCAGTCCTCCTCCCCTAGCCCAGCCCTGCCTGAGCATCCCCATCATGGGCAGCATGGGTGGCAGGGGGCAGACGGGGCTGTACAGGGCTGGGGAGGGCGGTGGGTGTCAGTGTGAGGGCCCAGATCACAACACCCCATCCATGCTGACTGAAAGCACAACGTCTCACCCGCTACCACGCACCGGCACAGTGGGACCTGCCAAGGGGGAGCGCGGGTGAGGGGTTTGACTGGGACCTCGGTTTCACTTCCTGCCCTGTGTGGGGAGAGATCATTAAAAATATCTGACTAAGGCAGACTTCTTTGTTCTCGGTATTACTAAGCCCTCCCCACTCCCCAGCCCCCTGCGATGACAGCGGTGTGGGCAGAGCTATTTCACTTTCCCTTGGTTTGCAGACTCACAGGTGGACAGACAGGTGTGTGGCACTGAACACCTCCTGGCCTCTCCCAGCCTTGCAGGAGCACGATCCTTTCTTCAACAGACTTGGGTGCTTTTCCCCAGCATCTCAGTCGGTCACAGCATCTTAATTTTCAGAGAGTTATGAGGATACCAATTCAGGGTAATACGGATGATGCTGAGAGACATGAGGTGGGGATCAGGTCCCAGGGATGCTCAGAACAAGGGAAAGTTTGCCAGGCACGGCAGAGCTGGGCTGCACAACTATCTCCTATGTGGTGCTGCAGAGAGGGAAATCTTGACAATTGCAGTCTTGGCAGTCAACAGGTTGATCACAAATTGATTTTCTCTTGGATTAATATGGTTACCATAAAAGATATGAGCATTTCAACATCTGCCCCCACAACTGCAATATTAGTTTTAACGACCATGTTGACTGATGTGCCCTGTACTTTATAAAGCTGTAACATGCATTTTCTTACCAGAGTAACTCGCAGCCCAGTGCACATACAGACATTGCAGCTTAGAGGAACAGTGGTTTGTAAGTTGATGTATCCCCTTGCTCATGCGTCAGGCCCCGTGGTGCAATTAGATACTCTGTTTTGCAAAGGCAATAGTGATTAATGCTTCTGCAGAAGCCTGGGAGTTGGGAGTGGGACAGGACATGTGAGGTGAGTGAAAACCAGGTTGCACTGGGTTGAATTGCTATCAGAAGGTCATCTTTGAAACAGTCAAGAGAACCGCACATAAAGGTTACCTGTAAAGACTGTTTCTTCTTGGTTTTCCACTCTTGCCTTACTAAACCTTTTTATTGATTTCACTGCAGATAAAGATATAAACATTACACCTACATGGTCTGTCATGAAGGCTAGTATTGCATTCCATGTTTCCAAATTCCAGACTCGCTTTGACTCTTGGGCTAGATCTACCTTCCTTGTTCACATTCTGCCCATCTCCAGTGCCATCCTTCCAGCTGTACTGATGATTGCTAAGGGATCCCGTTGGAGGCTGGATTAGATTTCAAAATGGGTGAGATTAACCTGTGGCAAAATATCTACACACCAGCTAAGCTCCAAATCCTGAGTTTCATTGTTACAGCAGATTTGTTTTTTCACTTTGTTGGTGCAAGCAGGTGGTAAACTGGCATGTGTAAAACTGCTGATATTCATACTGTGCTGCAGGTAAGTGGAAGCTGTCATATCTCTCCATCAATAGCTTGACTGGCACTGTCTGGTTCTGCTCCTGAAAGCTCAGGTGAGATGTCATTCCACCAGAAGGCTTGCTTAGCTCTGCTTACATATACATGGGACCATCTAAACCTTGTGTGTGGAGTGGTGATGGATCCAGAAGCAGATGTAAAGGGTGGAAGGAGCTGCCCACCCACATCAACATCTGCAGGGAGGGCAGTGGTGCTGACTTGAGCTGATCAGACCTATTGCCTCCCTGGAGCAGGTTGTGCCTGTGGGGGAAGCCCTGGCCACCCTCCCACTGCTGTCACTTCACATGGAGCAAGTGAGACAGGAGCAGGACTGGCACCCCGTGGGAAGGCGCTGTGGAGGAGGCACCCAGAACATTTTTTCATGGTATCAGAAGAAGCTGATTAATAATCCCAGAGATGCTGAGCCAAGCCCACTCTGGGGAGAGAGAGGGTGTTCAGTGAATCCATCCCCATTTTTCTCACAAGAGTGACATGATGCGTAGCAGTAGTGGTGGAATCACTAATAGGTCAAATTATTTCCTGGACAGGTGGGTCCCTGAGTTTAAAACCCTGGGGACAACTTGTTTGGGAATGCTGCTGAGCAGGAGCTGGTGCAGACAAAGCCCTTCAGAGCGAACATATCACAATGCTCTCCTGGAAATTAAACCCTGACAGGAATGTGCCCTTGGAGGCTGGAGGACACCTTATGCATTCAGTAGTGACCCCATTCCCTCCCACACAGGCTGCTCCTTCAAAGCAGAAGAGACTGGTCAGAGCTTGGGGGCCATTTTTGTACAAGGTAACCAGGAATTAGAGAGAAGTGGCTAATTTCAAAGTGTGATTTAAAGGACTTAGGGATTTTGGTTATGATTTCATAAAACACAGGAGAGGTCTTCCTTAATAACACAGATTTTTAGGAAATGTGGGGCCACGTGTGCTGTTTCCATCACCCCAGGGTGCTGCAGGTGTGTGGAGTGCTCAGGATGCTTCAGAGAGGAAGGAGGGAGAGAAAAGCTTTTGGGATGAAGTGGTTTTCGTTCAGCTAATCAAAGCTCCTCACTCAGGGCTAGAACAAAGCAGTCAAGACCTCTCTTTTTTTTCATCATCAAATGAGAGAGGTCTCTGCTGGTTGTCATCACGTGGGAGGTTGCAGGTTGCTGTTACCCTGTTGTCAAGGTCTGAAACCCCTGATCCCATGCTCTGAAGCAATGCCCTGTGCTAGGCAGTGCAGCTCCTCTGGGTGCTGGTGAAGGACATCTGCCAGTCAACACTGACTCTTCCCAGGTCACCCTGAGCAGGAGTTCCCTCAGCCAGGTGTGGTCCTGGCCTGCAGACCCCAGTCCCTGGGCCAGGACACACCTCCCAGGCTACCCCAAGCTTCCAGTGCTGACCAAGAGTGCTTTGAGAAGGAGAAGCTGAGTGTATCTGATGTTGAGTGAGCCCTGGGTAGCAGTCTGGGGGTGACTTGGCTGTGCAGGATACACTGAGATGGGGCAGCATTACCTCCTCCAGCCTTTCCAGGGCAGCAAGGGTGGGAAAAATAGGGCAAGGGAGTGTGAGTGGGTGGGGGGGGTGGGTGTAGGACAAAGCATGTAAATAGAGGTAAAGAACATGCCACGTGTGTGAGGATGGAGGCTTGGAAAGGAAAAATGACTTAGCTGCAAAACAGAACTCCTTTACCTGTTTTTCTCATAAAGCAGCATGAGGATGTTTCTGCTAAAGCAGCCTTTCAAAGCAGCTGCATTATGAAATGACTTCTTTTTAACAAATCCATCTGCCTGCTTTTTAATAAGCAGGGCTTTCCACCATTGTATATGTGCAAGGTCTGACCTTTTCATAGGAAAAAACATTCATAACCAAAAACTATAAATAGAAACCTTTAGACTGGAGCAGATCAAGATGTAGGTTTTGTGACTTTTTTTTAAAAAAAAACAACCCAGCATAATGTGGGAGGGAAAAGAACAAGTTCTTTTAAAAAGTCATAAACTTCTGTTATTGCCTTAAGCTTACTTAATATTTACTGAAACATTTAATGAAAGACTTTAAACAGTAAGGCTTACAAGACTTCTGTATCAAAGCAGGTATTTTTACAAAGGAAAGGAAAAAAAGATTAGAAGTCTGTTTAGTTTAGGAAAAAGGGTACTTCCCCCAGTCATGAAACAAAAAGTTTATAGAAGGTTTGTATTTCTAGAGTAAGTTAAGTTTTATACCTTGTTCACGTTCTGGTTCTGCAAGCTCTCATATATACATGTAACTCTGCTCATAAGTATAGACACTTAGCCTTCAAAGAGACTACTCATGTGAAAAAAGCTGATCATTCATTGTTTCCACTTCAAGCCATATTTGGTCCTGTATTTTAAGTCCCAGATGCTGAAGGCAGGTGATTACATGAGAATCTCAGCTTTCTTAAAATAAAAATTAAAAAATAAATAAATAACTAAAAGGAAAAAAACAAAACAAAACAAAAACAACAACAAAAAAATCCCTCAGTGCCAGAAGGCAAATAATACAAAACCAATCTTCTATCTAAATCTGCTCATCACAGACATTTCTTAACTGGGAGCAATATTTTTTAAGTGTACGACGAAAGAGTTCAAGAAAAGGGAGTAGGAAGCAATCAGTGCAATTGTGGCTTATTTGAGCCACGGCAGCAAATCACTGTTGCCACATGCAAAGACCCTTGGTGGTGCAGGTTCAGAGATGCTCTGAAGAGTTTCACTTAGCAAACACTCAGGTATGTCAAAGTGAATCAAGAGAAGGCTTTGGTTAAGCATGCATCGAGCTCATCTGCTGTATCCCGTGCCTCGGATTCTTGAATACGCATATCTCCTCTGATATTTAAGATAGCACAGAAAATAAATCAACTGGGCTGGTGCTGTCATCATGGAAACAAAAATAAGCTGTTAGCTGTAGCCACTGAAGGGTGCAGTGGTAATACAATACTTAGAGTCTCTCTGTTCCTTTTTTATATACTTCACCAACATAAGAAACAATTACACTGATCCATATTTCATCAGGCATTGCAGGCTGAGCATCCTTTACGACCATTGCGTTGCTCCTCAGGTGTTGGCTTCAGCCTCCTTAGAGAGGTATCTTTTTGCTGTGACTGCTCAGTGCCAGGATCCTCTCCTAAGGGGCAATATCTCACCAGCACTGTTCCACAGCGTGATGTGGTGACAGCCTTCCCTTGAACTGAGCATCTCCAGTACCGTGACACTGCTCACGTGAGGAGCAGATCCAGACCAAATCACGGGGTTTGTCCAGCACTCACAACACAACTCTTTTCTGCTGCAAGGTATTTTAGGTTGAGGTCATGTCACCACTTCCCCGATACCTATAAATATTTTTTTTTCATATATTGAAAATGGGAAGCTATTTAGAGATTGTAGAAATGAGAGGGCGACAGTGATTTCTGCAGAGATATCTGCTTGTGCCACCACAGCTCTGTGGACACAAGCACGTGTGCACACTCACTGCACGTAGCGTTTGTCTTGTAGCTTCATTTCTCCCAAATGATGATGACCTGTTAACCAAAAGCCTCCCAGGCAGAAATGTTTGAGATGTTTTTCAGAAGCTGCAATTGCTGCAGAGATATCAAGACCCAAGAGTCACGCAAATGATACAGAAACCCTTGGGGCAGCCAGGAAAGACATCATGAATTGTGCCTAGGTGTCTGAACACAGGGGAACCCCACCATCCACATGCAGAGAAGTGTGGCATGGATTTTGCCCAGCACCTGGCGTGTGTCTGCTCTCTGTCACTTGGGCTGGATGCAAAGGTGAAAGAGGGGCTGTCCTTGGGACAATTTGAACTCTACAACAGATGCCTGTTTTAAGAACAGAAAGATATTCCTTTCTGCAGAGATGCCCTTGAAATGGTCATTAAGGTGAAATCTGGGCCTGCAGAAGCTGATGGCAAAGTACCCATGGATTTTGGTCTGGTCCAAATTCCACCCCACGGGTTTGACTGCTGTCCAGCCATTGCCTAAGCCTGAGGCTGGCCTTCTGCCCTACGCCGAGTTTTCTCCTACAGCCGTGGAGTCAGGCCTAGGTTGAATCTCACCAATAAAACAAATAGAATTATATGATGCAAGGGTAGTTGAGTCGTGATTTTCATCAGTGTTTCCTTTTCACTGAGCTCAAAGTCTAGTTTGAATGCAGCCTACTATTTCAGTCCACAAGAAAAGGCTACATAGAAAATAGCTTTTGAATCAGATGCTTTACATAAACCATGAGTTTCACTAAGAACTGATCCATTCTGCTCTTTTTCACTCCTACAGTTGTGACTCTGCAGGGAGGCATTAGAAGTTTCAGTACTTTCGTCTTGTCTCAGAACATTTAAGGTAGCCAAAGAAGGTAATAATAATAATAATAATAATAATAATAATAATATAAACATTGAAATCATTCACCACAACTGATTTATTGGAGGAATTTTGCCACACGTGGGTGTGATAAGTCATCCAGAAATAGGTCATGGTTTTCTGAAACGTATCTGAAGTGCAGGATTGTTTGCCAAGTAAGTTATACCAAATAAATCCTTCTCACTGTTAGTAGACGGCGCTTTTATTTTGAGTTGTTTTGACTGAGTAGCACCATGGTTCACATGGCGAATATCTCTTTATTGATTGGGAACTGGAGCAGGCACCTAACCTTAACCACGTACTAGATATCTCCCGGTTGAAGCCAACCATAAATGCATGTTCAGGCTAAGGGAACACAGGGAGAATGATTTTGGTGACCAGTCCATGTGCCAGTAATACAGAGGCCTTTTGGCAGGAATGGGCTTGGCGCTGTCCTAAGCCTGGAGATGCTGCAGTGGGGAACAAAGGTAACATTTTAACTGCCCTTTCAGATGGGTTGGGGAGGCTGTCCCGAAACAGCCACATAGGCGATGAAACCGTGAGGGCTGTGGGAAGATGAAACAGAGCTCTCCTTCTGTTTGGACAAAACTGTGGTCTCCCTTTGCTTTTCACTCAGCCTTGCTTAGTCCTGGCTGATGCACCTGGTGTTTTACTGTCCTTGTAAAGGTGCTGGAAGTTGCCTGAGCCCAGTGCTGAGCATGCAGCTGCTTATAGATGATGTGGAGATCTCGTGGATGAACTTTTTATTGTCCTCCTGTATAGACAGACTTTTTATTGTCCTCCTGTAAAAACCCTGGCTTTTTACTCAAACCTGGGGGATCTCCAGCATAGAGTAACCAAAGACAACTTCAACAGCTCCCCCTCAACTCTACCTTCCAAGGAAGAAATAAGCAAAATCGTGGCTGTCTCTGATACTGTGATTTATACAGAACCCACCTAGGTTTAGTGCTTTCAGAGAAAAGTATAAAGATTTCTCATGCCAAGAGGTTTTAATTTTAAATCAGAGAGAGAAAAAATTTGGCCCAAAACTGAAACAAATATCAGTGGGGAGATCCCTGTAAAAAGAAAAGGAAGATCCATCAGAACTGCCATTTTCAAGGGTTTTGCAGATATGTGAGCAAGTGAGCTTTAGAGCGGCTGAGATCAACCTACACACAGCAACTCATTTTTGTCTAAGGAGTTGCTTGGCCCTTCCAGGGCTTGAGTGGTGGGGGGGTGAGAAAACTCTTTGTACAATAACCCTCTAAGGTAGCTGAAGGTATACTCAAGCCCACTGATGTCAGTTGAAGATCTTTAAAGGCGTGTGGCAAATAACAAGAAATTCCAGCAAATAGAAGGTAAGAAAAGTTTGTAAAGGCCGTTGAAAATGAGATTTTTGTCAAAAGTGGAATCTTCTGTCCCACTACTTTCTTATGAACTTATCCCACAGTATGGACCAAGGAGATGTTTGCTGATTTGGACCTCAGCATTTATTGTAATCCTGTGTCTGTGTGTGGGAAAGCAGGAAACTTCCCTACTGTGCTTGGAATTGTAATGCTATAAAGGTGTTTATACGTGTGGGGCTTATTTCTTTATGAAGAATGGGATAAATTATACTTGAATAAAGCCATCATCACATCCACCTTAGGGAATCTCTCTGTCTGCCTATCACTCTAATGCCCACTCTATCACTCTAACTGCTGCAGTTAAAGAAAAACACACTCTTGACCAACACATAAATACAAAACCCCAGGCTTTTGTGATTTCTATGGTTCTGGCAGAACAAAGGGGAATTAAATGGCTTGTAAATTAATTTCTGTGTGCATTAAGACTCTTTACACAGCCCAAAGAGTATAAAAGAGCTTTGGGTTCACTCAGAATTAGCCTGAATAAATTCAGAAGGCCGTATTTCTTTACATGCACATAATCATTTCCAAAGCATCTGCCATAAAAACGGATGATTGAAACAGATTTCCTAGTGGATAATTTCCTGCCTGTTCCTAGCACTTTTATCTCAGGAAACTGAATCCAAAACTCATGGTCACCAGTGTGAAAACTCCATTGATCTCAGTGGACTTTGGTTCAGCTCTGAAAGATACGAGAACAGATACTGAGAGTTTGGGTTTCTGGAGCTCGGGGCAGCACCGTCCCTGTTTGACACAGCACAGCAAGATGAACACACAACAGAGCCGCTTCCCACGGCCATCGTCCTGTGATCCCCATCCTTTTCCAGTGCTCTCAACACAGCCAATGTGACACGGGGTTATGGAAATGGACAGTAACATGATCTACTTCCCTGATGTGGGAAGTAGATCTCAAACTGGCATAGTTGGAGACTGTGGGAGTCATTTGCTGATCAGCTGATGTGGCTCAGGATGGGAAATCTCCTGTTCAGGCGGACCTTCCCCACATTTCCCATTGTCATCCCTCCCCTGTTCCACCTCAGCAGATGACAGGAGGCTTAATTAACGTGTCTCCAAGAAGGACATAAAGATGTGAAGTGAGTGTCTAGGGAAGCTTCTTACATTGTTTTCTGAATAAAAAAACCTCTCTCACATCGCAACACACAAATCTTCATTCCCATAGGAGCTAGGACAGCTGATTCAGTGGGTAGAAGCCTGGTGCTAGCTGAGGCAGCTATTGCTGATTTGAGTTGAGAATGAGATCGTCAGTGAAATGAATTGATGGTTTCAGTTCCAGATCTGGTGGGCAAATTTAAAAAAAAAAAAAAACAACCAAAACCAGGGAGTGTCATTCAATGCTTGCTCTCAGGAAGCC